TCCCCCCCCCCCCCCCCCCCCCCACCGGAAGTATACATTTCTAAGAAACCAACAAACGTTAATTATATAATACCATTGTATGTTGACTTACTTCGTTTCACAGAATCCTTGACTGAACAGCACATCCTGTTTTTCATACTCAATGAATTAATCAATTGTTCAAGAGATTAGTTTCTGGGAAAGTCGCAGTTCTGCACGGCACATATATAACCGCAGCTACCTCAACTGAGCGGAAACAAAGCGGCGAGTGCTGCGATAGCATCAAGAGCTGTTGAATTAACGGTGTCACAAATTACTCAGAGCCCGAGAGATTGATTATGGAAGGTGAAGAAAAGAGTAAGAATACAGATACATCAACGAAAACTGACAAATTAGAGGACAAGGAATTCGAAGGTAAGAATCGATATTTAATTATGAGTCTTGATCATTGAAAGTCTTGAAAATTCTCAGAAATATCAATAAAAAAGCAGTGATCGGTTCAAAGCGTCCATGGCATAGCAACTCTGGATACAACAGCGATTGTGTTAAACTTTTTTTACTTGACAAATCACTGTTACTTGAGTCATCGTAGAACGCTGAGACGAAACGTGAAAGGAATCTTGTTTTATTCTGTTAGAATTTAACGGCTGGCTGAAGCAGCGGACAAATCCACTGTGTGTGATAACTGTTGACAAAGAACCTTGAAACAGGTCTAGAGAGTTAAGCAAACTTAATTAAGGTCATAAAAAACGTTTTATCGTTATATAGGCTTTCGCTGCAAATCAGTATACTTTTGTATTTTCGGATTACTATAAAACAGATCACGAGAGGTTTACAGTGAAATGTCATTGTTTGTTATGTAACGAGTCAGAGGATCGCGCGCGCGGAACGCAGATACAAATACATTATTTTTCCTCGTGTTATTTAATCGGAAAACTCATGTTGTACGCGGTGTTATGCCATGATTCAATGTTGCTTTCGGTCCAAGGTCTGGTTCAGCAACTTTTTGTTACAAATCAACTAACTCTTCGCCCGTTGGTGATTGTATCAAACTTTGTTCAGTGAAATGACGGAAATTGGCGAACAAAAGTAGTCTTGGTGGAACCTGCTCTAAAAATTGACTTTTCTAAGAAAAAAAGAAAGATGTATGGCATTATATGTTATTCCCATACTAGTTTGTTCAAAAGAATACTCTGAATTACCCTCTGATATTGGTCGTTAATATATACTTCCTTTCTCGGCCGTGCACTCGACTTTCGTTTCTTTGGAAAGTCTTACTAATGCCTCAATTGAAAATATCAAATGTGCTATATTTAACTCCGGAACGAATGAAAGTGGCTTGTAAACAGTGAACGATTGTATAAAGGACCATCCAGTGATTATTCAGTGAAACAAAGCTATCAATACAGAAGAGTAAACACAATGTTACTTCAGAGAACAGTGACAAATAAGAGGGAAACTGAAGAGGGCTACAAGGATTATAGTGATAATATTTTACATGTAAATGTTCTCATGGCACTTAACGACTGTCGTTTGATGTCCCTTGTAATTATACCAAGCGATACAAACAGCTTCATTCCTTATCAGATTAAATCTGCTCTGATTAAGGTTTTCTTTTCTTTTTCTCTTTCCTCAGACGGCAAACCTTTTTTTCAACGTGAAAAAGTGAGGCGAGGCAGGATGCCATTTCCACCGCCGCCGTCTTCTGGCAGCAACCCCAAAAGCAATACCTCAAGTAACTTTCAAGCCCAGAAGACAAACTGGAAATGACTGCGTCCCGACGCTGTGGTTATTTTCCTCTCTTTTAATTTTGTTTCGTTTAGTAATTTAGGTTGAAATGAATTCCGATTTTTAGGAACTTCAAGTATTAAAAGCACTTAGGTTTGCTAAATAGGCACTAGAAGGGCTTTCCGCCCCCAAATATCAGTTGTGGTGGACAGAGATCATGAGCCGTCATGAAAAAACGACAAAAACTGAAAGAGATCTTAAATGTTTGCTATTTTGCTAAAGTTAAGCTATGCGAAGTCACTGCTGACAAAGCACCTTGGACAGGAGGCTGGACAAGCACATGATACATCGTTCTTAGTGAATTTTAAAATGCTTCTTGCTGGAAAAATGAAATGTAAACTCGCCAATTTTGATCGCAGTTGCTTTGATCTTCAGAAATTCTTCCTTACTATGTTGTTGTAATTTATAGTCGTTTGAATATATAACACATCCTCAAATTTGCAGATTTGGAAAGATCTTTGACCATCTATGACGGAAAGTTGTAATAACAAATAAAATAAAAACTATAATTTGGTTATTATATTGTGTAGCAATTGATGTAGGCGCGGCTGTTAACAAGTTCTTAACTGTGGCAAAAGCGATCTAAGGCAGCGTTCACAATACGCCAGAGAAGTTTGAAAACACAGCTTTATTTCTACGGTTAGACCTGCGGTCCACACTAATCCGTCAGGAAAACGGAATTTGAGGAATTTGAAAACACCTTTTCGTTTTCGTGTGGACGGAAAACATTTCGAAAACGGAGCTTTTTGAAAACGATGGCGTTACGATAATCATGCATGCAATTTGCCTGATCGAGTTTTCCTCATTGGCTCTAGTATGTTTCCTCGGTGAATGAGAAATACCTCACGAGACTTTCTAATAAATGCCAATCCTCTTGTGAGCTTTTCTTTGGCACTGGAGTGGAATAATACAGCAGTGGTTTTAAAGTGTGGGGGCACATAAACAGCATTCAGAGGCCGTCATACTATTTCTTGTCGGGCAATCAAGTCATCCTTATATACAATGAATTACAACTTGCTTGCCGCATATTGGAATAATGCACTGCTCAATATCCCCCCCCTCCCCCCTCCCCACCCTCGATCCCCTGGACAGGGCGTGGAATTTAATATTTACGTAAAGTTACAGTTGGACATTTTCGCCGGTCATCGGGGACACATTCGTCGTTAAACACCCCCGCCACCACGGCCCCACTGTTTAGGGTCGATTTACACAATAAACGTAATTCAAATTTTGTTATTTTGTCACAGTTTCTAAAGTAGCAAATTATACAGAATGCATTGCTATGCAGGAAGTCTACTACGTTCACTGTTTAAAAATAGGAAAGTGTGACGCTGTTTTTGTTATCATAGCTTTGACGAATAATTCAATTTTGGTTTTGCTTGGCTTATAAATATGATGATAAAAAACAAAAGCTCTTGTCAATGCCCAGGGACGGAACGTTTCGCTATCATCGCTGCGTTCAGGTTTCTCTTCAGTTTCCTATGACTACGCTGAACGTCCGGTTGAAACTTAAATCTTCGCTAAAATGCCCTGCAAGTGATAACAAGTGTCAAATTTCCGTTTCTCCGTGAATCCACGCTGTTATGACACATAAATTCTCCGCCTCGTCCATGGCGAAGGAGACCGGGGGCAATTGACCAGTGCTACGAGACGGATTGTCCCTTGCCAGTGCATAAGAATTTTGAAAGTGTGGAAGAATCCTGGCGTAAATTTCTAAGAAACTAACAAACGTTAACTACACCCCCTCCACTCTATGCCGGAGGAATGTGAAAACGAAACGCATATTTGAGGATCAGTTTCTATATTTTTAATTTTTACTTGTCATCTTTTTTATTCTGCAAATATTTATATGAGGGCCACTGGTCTTTCAGTTATTATTGTTGTGTGCAACCTTCAATAAATTAAGCTGATTATTATTATTATTATTATTATTATTAT